ATGGCTGCAGCAGTCTGAGGTAAGAATGTGCCAAACATACTGGAGAAGGAGGGCAATCACGTGGCTGGGATCGAACGAAAGACTCCAAGAGAAACAGGTCATGAATTGGGAAAGGAGGACTTTGGGGACTAGAAAACGTCAGGTCTCGTCAGCCAGACCGAGGAATTTCATTCTAAGGGTGATTGGAGAGGCCATCGAAGGGGGACAGGATGACAGTCAAGAACAGAAGAGCAGACATCAGCTCAGAGGGCAATAGAATGGTGCAGGAGAGAGAACGTGGTGGAGGATGGGGGACAGATATGGCGGTCAAGGAGAAGCAGGGCTCGCGCTCAGGGCTGAAGGTCAAGAGCGGAGCTGCCCAGCAACGCAGTGCTGTCCCTGACTCACCTCCGACTCTCTCTCTCTCATCTTCCACCTTCACCTTCCAGCTATACCTGGAAAGATAAGACACCTAAGCCTAGAGCCACACAGTCAGGATCCAAGCCTGGCTCCGCCACTTACTACGTGTACAATCTCGAATAAGTTTATGTTAATTTTCTATGCTTCGTTTCTATCTTCCTCATCTGTAAAATGGGGATCATAATAGTATCTATCACTCAGATGGTTGTGAGGCTTAAATGCTTCGTACGTGGAAAATGTCTAGACATTTTCTGACATGATAAGCATCAATAACTGCTAGCTAATAGTAGCATTAGATGCTTTTAACATCTCAGATATGCTGTCTCTCTCTCAGCTCTAAAACTTGGCGCCTGCTCTTCCCTACGCCTGGAATGTACTTTCGTTAGTTCCAAACTCATCCTCCCAACTCTCGGCCTCAATGTCGCTGCCTCCAGGAGACCTTTTCTGATCCCCTAGACTAGATGCAATTTTCTTTAGTCTCTTCTCTCTCCACTCACCCTCCAATAGCGACCTCCATCACTTACTATAATTATCACTTGTTTCGTTGTTTGATTTTCCTACTAGACGGAAAACTCTGTGAAGGACGGAACTGTTCTTGCTTCTCTTGTTCACCCCGGTATCCTCCAGGGCTAACGCAGTGCCTAGAAAACAGTAGGCATTGAATCAATACTGAAGAAGTCCACTCACCTACCCATCTTCCAAGATTAACAAAAGTCCCCCAAGTGGAGAATGTGGTAACCCGGCACCCAGGGCCTCATTACGACTTTGATGGGTGTTAGGCACTTGGGCCTTTGTGGGTTCCCACCCTGCATTAAAAAAGATACATATTAAAAATTATATTTTATAACTGCTTTGGTATAAAGATGAATATAGTCCAGAGTAGATTCCTTATTATATGTTCATCGTTAATATATTCATTTTTTTAATTCTGATTTTAAGAGAAATTAAAATGGAAACATTTTTGAGGACTCTAACCATCATGCCCACTGTGCCTACTTGGAAAGTTGGTCCTGAAAGCAACAGCCATAGAAAAGTTAAAAGAAATGGAAAAGCTCAGAAGGGACTAGAAGGAGGGCCAGACTCTGAAATCAGCCGAATCCTGGGATGGGGCAGACAATGTAGCTGTGACTCAACTAGAAGGCTTTTAGCTGCAAGAGTCCTCACTCCAATTCACGAAGCCAGGAAAGTCCAGCTACGTGGCAGGGTCCAGGCCTCGCTGATTTGAACACTTCACAGTGTCTGTAGTTTCAGTTCTTTCTCATGGTCCATTCTTCTGTCCTCAGCATCATTCGTCCCAAGCCTGTTTCCCTGTGGTCATCAGATACCTGTCGGCAGAAATGCAGGCAACTTCCCTCCTTGTTTACATCCAGTGAGACAGCTGGGGAAGTCCAGTCCCTTGCTGCAGTCTGACTGAGCCAGCCTCAGTCACATGCCCAACCTGGACCACTAATAGTCCCCTGGGGAATACGCCCCACTGGCTGATCTAGCAAATCAGGGTCCAGCCCTGGGGCTGGGGATGTGGCATACACCAGAACAAAACCAGGGAACAGGAAATGTCTGATGACCCACCCCGCAACAAGAGTTCAAGGGTTCAAGCATTGTGAGATGAGCTATTAGACATCAAGTATATAAAATGTATTTATATCAAGCATATAAAGTATTCACATCAAGTAGTAAAATGTATTTTCGTCAAGTATATAAAAAGGTCAAGGTACCTTTGAATCCAAGAGAGGATCTTACAGGAGATTTGTGGAGAGTGTTTTTGGAGAAAGCTTGGCTGTGAGCTTCATCTCCAAACCCCCTAATTAAGGCAGGGGTCCCCAACCCCCAGGCCGCAGGCCAGGTACCATTCTGTGGCCTGTTAGGAACCGGGCCGCACAGCAGGAGGTGAGCAGCCAGTGAAGAGCGAAGCTCTTTTTGCAGCCACTGTTTGCAGCCACTCCCCAGCGCCAGCATCACCGCCTCAGCTCCACTGCAGATCATCAGCATGAGATTCTCATAGGAGCACCAGTCCCTGGTGCCACAAAGGCTGGGGACCGCTGGCTTAAGGGGTGAAATGGAGATGGATAAGCACCTGCACTCTCACCTCAACCCTAGTGAGGGGGCTTCCACAGAGCCACACACAGAGCTTAATATGCAACCCCCACATTTAGGTGGCACGCAGTTGGAATCGATGCTTGGAAAACTTAGAGGGCTCTCTGTTGGTGACATCAAATCACAGATGAGCTCCACATTGCTAAATGCATAGGTTAACACTCAACCTTCATGTTTTTTTAGCATATCAGCCGATCGAAACAGTTGGAACGGTTTCTTCACTTGGCTCCCAACAGACCGGTATTCTGGGTTCCCTACCTCCTCGGTGACTCCTCTTTTGCTGGCTCCTCTTAAATCTCCAACCTCTGGATGACAGAGCACTCTAGAGCTCAGTCCTGGGACCTCTGACTTCCTCTCCCTACTGTCTTTCTCTCTATTTGTTGACATCTTCCAAAAGTTCATCTCCAGCCCGGAACTCGCTCTTGAAATTCAGACTCACTTATCCACAGCCCTTTCAAAGTCTCACTTGAATGTCTAATAGATATCGCAACATGTCCAGAATAGAGTCCTTGATTCCTCCCGACTTCCCCTTCTCAAGAAACGGCAACTCCATCCTTCGTTTGCTCCAGCAAATATCAGCCCTGACTCTTCTCCTCGTTTTATATCCTACAACCATCCCAGAGGCGAAAGTATTTTTGCGGTTGTCTGCGCCTCCAGGATGCATCCAGCGTAGATCACTTCTTGCCACCCACTCCATTATCTTTTATCTGGACTACGTCGTAAACCTCCCAGCCTTCTATTTCTTCTACCTAGATGACTGCAAAAAAATCGCCCTGTTTTTCTCATGCTTGAGCAGATAGATGGCCGCTAGAACAAGCCTTTCTAAAATGGGAGCTGATGTCATTCTCCTCCACGGAACCCTCCAGAGGCTTTCCCTCTCACTCACAGCAACAGCCAAAGTCCGGCCACTCCCCGGTCCCTAACCCTCTTCCCGCCTTATTGTTCTTCATATCATATAGCACGTTTGCTTCTAAAGTACCCTATCATTTACTTATTTTTCAGTCTCATTCTACAAAAATATAAGCTCCAAAAGGTCAGGAATATTTTTTTAATCTTAGTTGTTAAATTCTGTATACTCAGCATCTAGAACACGGCCTGACATACAGTAGGTGCTCAATAATTATTAGTCAAATGATCACATGAATATTTTGCTTTCTGTAGTTAGGTATTGTTTAAATATTTTACAAGAAGAAAAGGCTCACCTATCCATTCAACAAATACGGATTCAGGGCAAATTCAAGCTGAGGTGCTATGCTAGGTGCTGAGCAAAACAGGACCGACCTCACTGCTGGGCTCACAGAGCTTAGTCTAGTGATGGATGACTGAAATAATGAAAAATGAGTGGTAAGCGCTATAAGAAAGGGAAATGTCCACGAAAGCTCATCACAAACAAAGCTGGCTCTGCCTGGGTGAGATGAAGGTGGGTGGGAAAAAAGGGATCTGAGAGACCAAGAAAGCCACAGGAGACTGGTAGCAAAGCTCTGCGTTATGTGATTTCTCTGTGATTTTCATCCGGACTGCCTCTGCCCAGTATTGAAATATATGAAGTGTGCTCCACGCCACCTGCTGATAATTCCCTAAGTAGCACCTGAGCCAGGAACGATCCGGAGGTGCAGAGGTGCACACGTGAGTGTGAGGTGGAGTGGAGGAGTGGAGATGAGGCAGAGGGGGCTGTGTGGACAAAGATCCTAGAGTAGAGGGAGAATGGCACTTTCTGGAACGCAGAGAGCAAGGGGCTAGAAAGGGACAGCATGGGCGGGGCCCAGCAGGCCCTCCAACAGATTCCAACTTTACCCGCCCCCCTCTCCCCCCAAAAATCAAAAGCCACAGGAAGGGCCTTGTCTGTTGCTGTCTCACTTTGTTCCATTTGCGTCGCGGTGACATGACTGAACCTGTATTTTGAAGGCCGTACTGAAACTGCCTGTGTGGAGAACGCTTTACCGGAGGCACCTGAGCAGGTGCGGGGAGGTCAGTCAGGAGGCAGCGGAGGCCCCCAGGGGAGGGAGCCGGGCTGGCAACCTGCCCCAGGGCAGAGGCAGGAGGTGGAGAAAAGTTGACCCATTCAAGAGATTTCATTACCTGCGTGTTCCAGGTGGAACCGTGTCCTCCTCCGACCCCTCACCCTGCCCCACAAATTCATCTGCTGAAGCCTTGACGCCTGGTACCTAGGATGTGGCCGGATTTGGAAGTAGGGTCTTTAAAGAGGCGATTAAGGTGAGATGAGGTCACATGGGCGGGCCCTGCTCCCGGCTGACTGGTGTCCTTATAAGGAGAGGACACGCAGAGGGGGCCCCCTGAGAATGTGGTTATCTACAAGCTGAAGAGGGCAGCCTGACTCTTCCCTCGGGTCTCTAGCCTCCGGAACCCTGAGAAAATAAATTCCTGTTATTTAGACGACCCATTCTGTGATGGCTCGTTATGACAGCCGTAGCAAACTAATACACTGTACAAAAAAAAAAAAATTTAAGTGAAAAATAAAACCTTTGAAAAAGAAAATCGATTTATTCTTAATTGAAATCAGGGTGGTATATGATGGTAAAATTCAAACAAAAGAGCTTTTCTTCAGTGTACCCGGTGATGGCTTCTACAATACATCTGTACTGTCCCTAAAGTGAGGAATAAGAAACACAATATAAAATGTTAGCTGCTTCTATTTTGTAAGAAATTTAAGAATTTTTCTCACTAGGAGGAAGTCATTTAAATTGGATGGGTTATTATTTTCCGTTTTCTAATGAAATAAAATTTTGTATGCCTTTAAATTCAGCAAGCATAAAACCCATTTACCTTCCGATTACAAGAAGATTTTTTAAAACAATATTTTGAAACTAGCCTATGAGATTTTCAAACTCTAGATATCAGTCGTAAACAATGGGTAAAGAATATGCACTGTTAAAGTTTGTTCTAAAATAGTCACCAAAAGTGAAACGTGCAAAATTTCATTGCTAGGTATTTAAGGCAAGCGCCGAAAATTCCAGTTATGACTGACGGAGGCAGTCACGGAGTTCTACACAGTGATCGTGTGGCGATTTCACCCACAGATCGTTCAACAGTTTAATAATGAGCATCTGTATCACCTGTAGCCATGTATGTAAGAGGAAAAACGATGTAAAAAAGAGATTTCTTCTGCGTAACTCTTTTATATTTCCATATGCTTCAAAAAAAAGAAATGGTAAAATACCCCAAACCAATAAAAAAAGTTTTTTTAAATCTGAAACTCGGTAATCTTAAGTAGCAATTTTTAGACGTTGCGAATTGCTTATTTCAAATTTTTACCACATCTGTTACTGCAAAAGGTTAAGAAGGTACAAAATGGTCCTTGAACGATACCTTAGAGAAGCGTATTCCCTTGAAGGAGAATGATATTGTTGTATTCACCGTCTCTGTGAACAAAACACAAAAAGGAATCGGTCATCACCAGCTGATTTTTTCTTTTTGGTAGTATGGCGTGCACCTGTACACTTAAATACAGGTGACAGCAGTCCCAAGCAAAACCGGAGAGAAGTGATAAGTCTTATATCCTGGCTACGATTCCCCTGGGGAATCCCAGCAACTATGCAGGATGCAGGACCCAAGCCTCAGAGGATGCTGCAGGTTGAATTACATCCCCCAAAAGATGTTGAAGTCCCAGCCCCCTGCGCCTGTGCACATGGCCTTATTTGGAAATAGCACTTGGTCAAGATGAGGTCATGTGACTGCGTCCTTAAAAGAAGTGGACATTTGGACACAGAGACAGGTGTGCGGAGAGGGAAGACTGTGAAGGAACACAGGAAGAAGATGGCCATCTACAAGGCCTGGGGCCACCAGAAGCCAGGAGAGAAACCTGGAACAGGTCCTTCCCTGGCACCTTCAGAGGGAGCACAGCCCTGCCAACACCTGGAGCTTGGTCTTCTGGCTTCCAGAACTGTTCGACAATAAATTCCTATTGTTCTAAGCCACCTATTCCGTGGCACTTTGGTACAGAAACCCTAGCGAGATCCTGGAAACAGGTCGGCACATTTATTAAGTTTAAGATGCCCTTGAAATATCCATTTATTTATTCATAAATGTGGGGTTTTTTTTTGGTTTTTTGTGTGTTCATAAATGTGTTTTTGAAAGAAATAAAGGTGTGTGTGTATAACAGTGGTAAGATTATGGGTAATTTTTATTTTATTTTTGCTTGCCCATATTTTCTAAATAGCATATCCTAAAAATATATGTTTGTAACAAATATAAATAAGAAAAGTTATTTTGAAAGTAAATATATCTATGGCACTTACTAGCTTGATTTGCAAACTTTCAAGGTTCCCTTGATAGTGTCCATGTTTTTAAATCGGAATATCCTGAGCTCTGGGCCCAGAGAGTCAGCTGCCAGATGGACATGTTTATTTGAATGTCCCCAAATTACCTTGAGCTCAACATGCCCAAATCAGAACTCATCATCTTTCTTTTAAAAATCTGTCCCTTCTTTTGCACACGTCATTTCAGATAGTGGTACTGCCATCCATCCAGCCTCTGGCCCTCAAGTGGTTCTTGATTTTACCTAACCTTTGCCCGCCACATCCAATCAATCAGTATGTACCGCCAATGTGCTCCCAGTGTGCTCTCTGTCACCTCCTCCCCTTTGCTCCCAGGGCCACCGTCTTTGTCCAGCCCTCATGGTCTCTCGCAGTCTCCCAGCCTCACTTCCATCCACCCAAGTTCCCTGCCAACCCCCACCTCCTTCCATACGGACACCAGTTATCTGCAAAAACGGACATCTCAGTGGGGCATCCCCACCCACTGATGACAGGCTGCAGGACAATATTTTATGTGTGACTTACATGTTTGCTCCTCCCCCTTTCTAGGCTCATCTCTAGCAATTCCCCACAAGCACATTCTGCTCCAGCTAGAAAAAAAACTACTCTCCAAATAAGCCATATTCTTTCACGGCTAGATGTGTCCACATGTGCTGTTTCCTCTCCAGGAAACATCCTTCATCCCCACTCTCTGATAGTCTCAGATTCAAGACTCTAATAAAACAGTCTCTGAAGTCTTATCTGACTTTTTCTGCCACAGTAAATTGATAGTTGTGTATATAGTTAAAACTAAGAGCACGTAATTCTATTAGTGTTTATGACATTTTATTGTCATTTTTGTTCCCATGACTGTCTTTCCCAAAACAGAGAAATCTTCTGAGGAAAGAGATCCTATCATTCGACTTTGGATCACAAGAGCCTAATCATGACTCCCTCACATTAGGATTGGCAGATACCTGCAGAAGGAACGGAGGCTGGATTGAGTCTGACACCTCTTAGATCTCAAGAAAATGAAACCACAAAAATTCATATAAAAAGTCATCATAATCCCACACATTATATGAAGTCATTGTAAAACGGTTGTATTAGAAGACGGTAATCTGCCAAGAGGATTTGTTTTCTAAGAGAAAGCCCAGCAGGACAGAAGGGCAGGCCTCCGGGGTCAGGGCTGCTCCGTTTCTAGTCCCCGAATGGCCAAGGGCGCATTTCTGCCAGCAGCAGTTTCCTCACTTGTAAAAATGACAGGACTGCAGAATCGGGAACGGAAGAGGGAGTCCTAGCAGCCACATGAATATGTATTACTTAATAACCATCGTTCTTGAATTCTTACTCTGAGCACTATACTAAGCTGTTTTATACACATTCTCGAATTTAATCCTTAAAACCATGTAAAGTAGGTTTCACTGTCCCCACTTTACAGATGAGGAAAATGAGGCTGACAGAGGTTGAATAACACACCCAGGCCACATGGCTAGCAGGTGGGAGAGCTGGGACACTGACCCAGGTCTTTGCGACTCTTAGCCCAACCTCATGAGCACTGCCAGCTCCATGACCTGTATGTAGTATGAGGGTGGTAGATAAATGAGAGATGCGAAGAGATGCTTGACTGGGAGACACACAGCAAGCACACTGATTTACTTAGAAACTATTTTCTTCATGATTGCTAGCGATTATATAATCATACAATCAAACTGATGTCTCTGTCAAAGCAAGTACTAGCCTTTCTGTTATAAATTTTTAGATTACTCTCATTCCATTAATTCTCTACCCTTATTTCCCATTTTTGAGCCCATCTATAACTAATCCGTGCTATATTGCCAAGTCTAATGTCTACATGTAAACTACCTAAAATCTTTTTTTTAAATAAGAGAAGATACAGGTTAATGGTAAATAATTATATGAGAAAATGTTCAACTGTAATAAAAAATGTTAATAAAACAATTAAGTGTAAATTTTTTTCTAATAGTTTTTTTCAAAGACGTTTTTTAAATAATGCCCAATGTTAACAAGACAGAGATTAAACTACTGTACTTATACACTGCTAGTAATGCAGATATAAATTGGTACGATCCCTTAGAAAAGCAATTTGGCCTTATATAAACAAAACCACAAACGCATTAAAACCATTTACGCTTAGAAATATCCCTGGAAGTTATCTATAACTCCTCCCAAACATGGGAATATTCAAATCTAAAATATGAGAAAAATTATATACAAAAACATAATGATCATAATATTATTTATAATAGTATAAATACCAGAAGCACATTGAATGTCCAGAAGGAGGATGAGGAAGAAAAAAGCAAACCAGGGAGAATGCACTAAGGGAGATGTTTCACCGTGAAGTATTTGTACTCTGATTTTTGAACCACGTGGATGTGGTTATCTAGTCAAAGAATTAAATAAATTTTTTAGAAATTGTAGTGAAGTATACTTACAACTACATAAACAATATTCATAGTTTAAAATACGAGAAAAAATACTCCCAGATGACTTTAGAAATACGAATCAAAGACATTTTTGTTGTTTATACTTTCCAATTTTTGGTAGTGTGACAGCATGATATTTATAATCTTTTAAACTATTTAAAATACTAGTTTAAAATTGTTATGGAAAAATTCATAAGTTTGCAATAAGTGATCTTCAGGTCTTAAACTATAAAATTTTATAATTCTGTGAATAATTCCAGGGCGGAAAAACGGAGGGGAAGACATTGAAGAAACCAATGTAGCTGCACAGGAAAATCTAGTGAGTTTCTATAAAAAGTAATAAACATCACGTTTAGAAAAAGAGATCCATTACCAAGAGTAAATGTACAATATTAATCTAAACAAGGTAAAAATTTTAATATCCCGCCAAACACACTCAGGTAAGCGTCACCTTAATAACAACTCAGTAACATAATTGTAAAATGCTTTTTGTGCTGCTAAAAGTAAAAATTTTGACCGGAAATAATTATTATCAGAAAAGGAAGCCGACATTTTCAGCGTTTTTAATAGCGTTCTCAGACGGTCTATCTGGGGAGTGATGTAAATGGAAAGCTCACCTCCCTTCAGGGCTCTGCAGAACGAGTACTCATCATCAGACCCGTGGCAAATAACCTCTTTGCGCACTGGAAAATTCATGGAGTTGAAAGATAAATACAGATTGAAATATAATTTTTTAATGTCTCTCCCTGAAAAAGAAAAACACCCCATTAGTCCCTCAAATAAGAGGTTATATTATAAATAATAATTAACACTTATGATACACTTAAAATATGCCCTGTGCTCTTTCTACGTTATTTCACTCAATCATCACTATTACCTGCCGTGTGGGGATTGTGATCCTTGTTTTGCTGATGAGAAAACTGAAGGTATGAGGGGGTTGGTAGACTGAAATCAAATAGAACGTTCCACAGGAAGAATTCTGTGTGCTAGGCCTAAAAATAGGGAAACCTACTTTTTGAGGAAACTATCAAATGAAGGTATAAAATTTTCTGTTCTAGGTACAGTTCTGCTAGGAAGTTCAAAGAAAGAAAACCAAGTCACGATAATTGCCCAATTTTTAATCGTTTTGATAAAAGACTTCTTGGAGAACAAAATCAAACTTTTTGATTAAAAATTAGATGTGCGAGCTGTTTATTACTTCCTCATGCTCTCCCTATTAGCAATTAACATGGAAAAATCCGGTAAATGATGCATTTTTCCCAACTCTTCTAAGTTATTCAGCTGGCCCAACTAGAAAAGATATACGGTCTTTTTTATAATGAAAATAAGTTATTGTAACCACTGCCTCATTACAAATATTTTCCTAATCAGGTCACCGTGATTCACTGTAGCCACAATCAAAGGGAAAGTTTTCCATCTTTAATGTGAACTTCGCTGTGCTCAACAGAGCCGCGAGCCCCTTCCTCGAAACGCTCTCCTCCATCTGGCGTTGGTGCTCTTGCTCATTCCCCTCATTCCCCTCCAACCTCTCTGATTCCGCCCCCAAAGTCTAGTTCTTGGACCTCTCTTTCTTAGGGTTCTAGCCTCAGTGTTTCTCAATATTTACTCTGTACACTCTCCCTGGCCTAAAGTCCCGCATAAGGTGACACTTCCCAAATCACCACCCTTAGTCTTAACCTTTCTCCTGAGCACCTGTCTCACATATGCATTCAATAACTCTATTTGAATGTTGCTCATCACCTCACCCCACAGATCCCAAATTGATCCCTCATCTCATCTCCAAGTCGGCACTAGAATTCCCAGTCCCAAGAAATCTTACTGGGCTCCTTTTCATCCCCGTTACCACAGTCTTAACGCAGGCCCTCATTACTCAGAGCCTAAAGTACCACCAAACCTCCTAATTTGTCTAATACTCTGAGTGATACTATATTGTGTTATTATTACTTGTTATTATTAATTTGTCTAATGAGAAGAACATCATAGGGTCTGCTTCAAATGGTGGAGCCACGATCCCCTCCACAGACTTTGGCCTGAACCTCTCCAAAAGCAGGGATGCGTGCAGAAGCTGAAGAGCTGTTTTCGCAAGACACAGGTACACGGCAGTACTGCTGTGGTGTCCGGTGACAACACAGGACAAAGGACCTTCCATTTCTATGTAGAACACAATGTGTCCCTGGTCTTCAACGACTCCAAAAAAAGAAGTGCTTTCTTGACATCTCAACGGTTTACATCTTGAGAAGCTTTTTGTCCCAGGACATCGCTGTGCTCACCTTAGTCACGTGAACAATGGTCAGTGTGAGGTGCCCCTTGCGTGGCAGAGCAAGTGGGAGATACTACTGTGGGTGTTGAAGTGACAGATGAGAAACTTGGTGGCTGACGTGTGATAACAAAGAAGACTGTTTTCTAGCTCACCTAAGACAACTCCAGAAACTACCAGAAATAATTTTGAGGCTTATGGTCCAGCTTTGTCAATCAGTTAGTGATATACAAATAACTTACCAGCAAGGCCATAAAGTATCAAAATAAATATTTTCTATTCCCAACCCATTTTTGGTTCAAGGTTGTACTTAAAGCTCTTACTGAATATAGGAAGAAATAGCACCATAAAAATAGTTTGATTTCCATAACATGGCCCCACACTTCACACAGACACTCTATTATATTCTAAGGAAACTCGGGTCATTATTGCAAAGCTCTATGAAAAACATGACTGAATAATTCTTCTGTTACTGCATTAATATGCCATCTAGATGCCACATTTAGTGAATAAAGAAGGTACTCGGGTGGCCATGGAGTACTCTCCTCGAACCATCTTCCGAAGAACCTGCCGGGAGTGAAGTGGTTGGCAGACAGCCTCCATCCCTCCCCAGGGGCCAAACTCTAATGACTGAGCACTGCAAGGACTCGAGGGCCAGCCTACTCCCGCCTCTAATGGGACACTCGTGACAGCCAATCTTTGCTCTAAAGCTCCGCATTGATCTAGCTGAGAGAAACTCAAGGATGCATCTGGGTCTGGTGATCACCTACCAGATTCTCCTACTTTCTCTCTCTCATTTCAAAGGCATCAGACATGCAGTGCAATCTGAACCCTTCTCTCACCTGCCTGGTACCCTCTCCCCTTTATTGTTCACAGGCATTTCCCCCAGTAACTCTCTTGTGTGCCTAACTCTTTGGTGTCTGCTTTTCAGCAAACTCTGAGTGATACTATATTGTGTTATTATTACTTGGGCCTGGAAGGATACAACTTGCTTCCTGTGTGTAAGGGCAAGGAAGGGGCTTGTTGGAAAATTAGGTCATTCGTTATGTACATAATCGCTTCGGCCAAACATCTAGGGATAAGGCACACCAAGTAGACCAGAAAACAAAACCTGAGAAAAGAAGAAGAAACTGTAGAGCCTTTAGGCAGGCAAAAATTAGAAAAAAAAAAAGTTATTTCTTTTCATCTTAGTTGAGAAAGTAGAGTGAACAGGGTTAGTCGTTCTTTCTTCTGGGCTACCACTAACCTAAGTCTCACTGCTATCATTTCACTATCATACCATATTACCTACAGATCTGTCCCTCCGATTGCACTGACAGATTCTTGAAGGTCAAGAGAATGTCTTATTTAGCAATGAATTTACAGTACCTATCACAATATTTGAAATACACTATGCATTTATTAGATATGTTTTGATCAATAAATAAATGCAGAAACAAAGTGTCAAAGTGCAGGTTAAACAATTAAATTCAGGAATATCAAAACACGAATTTATTGTCTATTATTTCTGGGTTCTCAGCTACCTCTTTTCTTGTAAACTGGAGAATTAAAATCGGGGCGGGGAGAATCTTTCTTTAGGCTTATTTATGTGAAAGCATTTTGTAAAGTATAAGCTCCAAATATAAGCTAGGATGTAAATAATGATGGCGATGATGAAAACAATCACGGTAATGAGAATAATTAGAGTTGACGTTTTCTGGAGTCCTAAAACTTCCACACAGCAAACCCGATTGGTAAGAGAGGGTAAAAGTTGTATGTGATTTCACAAACACTGAGACCCAGCCCGATACTATCACTGTCACCCAATTTGGTTTTTACTAAGCTGATGACCAGTAAAATCATAGACAGGAAAAACAAGATGAAATGTAAAATGAAAAACACTGTCTTCTTTCATCCCATCATCATCATATTTTTTTTTAGAAAGGTCAGCTTTAGAAACAAACATCCTGGCTTTCTCATTCAGATCTTTAACTAGTGGAAACCCAACATTACTTATCAGTTAAATAGCTAATGATTGACAAAGGATATACCTATTAGATCGTTAAAAATCTAAGTCATTCCCATTTACCCTATTGCCATTATGTAACCCCTTCCCATGAGTGTGAGCCTAGTGACTTGCTTCTAACAGATAGATATCGCAAAGTCGATAGAGTGACACTTTCATGACTAGGCCACATGAGATTGTGATTTCTGTCGTTAGCTGATTGTCCTCCTTGCTGACTTTGATAAAGCAAAAAGCTATGTTGAAAAGGCCCATATCACAAAACCTTGAGGGCTGGCCAGCAGCCAGACAGGAACTGAATACTGTCAACAATCCCATGTGAATTAAAGTGGATCCTGCCCCAGTTGAGCCTTCAGAAGAGACCCGAGCCTTCACAGACACCTTGTTTGCACCCTGTGGGAGAATCTGGAGCAGACGCAGCTAAGCTCTGCCCAGATAGCTGACACACAGAGACTATGAGATAATAAATGCGTACTGTTTTTTGAGTATTACTTAATATGAGATATTACGATTCTGGTAATTTTTTACATAACAATAGAAAACTAATACATATACATTTGGAACACGATCATTTATCACTGCTATTTCTTGAACCCTTTTAACTGATCTATAGAAAACAAAACTTTGGACTTACTTGGAATGTAGAAAATATGTAAATATCCACGGCTTCCCTTCAATTCTATACAGGGGTTAAGATTTAACGAAATAGGGAATTTCATGTTATCTAGAGAGAACAAAGATAATGTCAATAAATTATCATAAATCATTTCTAATAAGTAAAGTATTCTGAAATTCAGTCCCTGAAAGATGCCTTTAGCATTAGAATTGTGTAATGAGAAAAATTGAGGGGGGTTCAAAACATCGCCACCCCAGAGGAGTGACATCAGCAAGATGGCAGAGTAGGAAGTCTAAGACCCTTCTTCCCCTCACAGACACACAAAGTTACCAACAATTTGTGAAAAACTCCCTTTGTGGAAAATCAAAGACAAATTGAAAGTTTCCTGTATCTTAGGAGAACTTGAATCCAGACTTGCCAAAGTTGGTAGGGAGATTCAGTACACCCTTCTCAATAGGGACCCTGTACCTGGCCCAGCACAGGAGAAAAATCCCCTAGCCTCCAGCTTCACTCAGCGGGGAAGACGTTGGTTCATGCATGCAAATCCCCAAATTTTCCAAGGGGATCCCTAAAGAACTGAAGAAATAGAAAATCCAAACAGACCTATAACTAGTATGGAGATTGAGCCAGTAATCGAAAATGTCCCAAAAAAGAAGAGCCCAGGACCAGATGGCTTCAAGATGAATTCTACCAAACATTTAAATAAGACTTAATACTAACCCTTCTCCAACTCCTGCAAAAAACGGAAGAGGAGGACACACTTCCAAACTCATTTGGCCAGCCCAGCATCACCCTGATACCAAAGCCAGACAAAGACACCACAAGAAAAAAAAAACTATAGGCCAATATCCCTGATAAATATAGATGCAAAAATCCTCAACAAAATACTAGCAAGCTGAATTCAACAGCACATAAAAAGGATTATACACCATGACCAAGTGGGATTTTTTTCACCTTAGATGCAAGGATGGTTCGACATATGAAAATCAATTCATGCGATATACCACATTAATAGAATGAAGGATTTAAAAAAATCACATGATCACCTCAATAGATGTAGAAAAAGCATTTGACAATATGTAACATCCTTCTGTGATAAAAACTTTCAAAAAACAAGAATTTGAGGAAGTGCTCACAACATAATAAAGGCCATATATAAAAAGCCCAGAGTTGTTTTTTTTTTTTCAACTCAATGGTGAAAAACTGAAAGTTTTTCCTCTAAGATCAGCAACAAGGCAAGGATTCCTACTTGCAACATAGTATTGGAAGTCCTAGCCAGAGCAATTAGGCAAGAAAAGTAAATAAAAGACATCTAAATTGGAGAGGAAGAAGTAAAATTTCTTTGTTTGCTGATGACATGACTTTATATATAGAAAACCTTAAAGATTCCATTAAAAAAAAGAACTAATCAAAGAATTTAGTAAAATTTCAGGATACAAAATCAACATACAAAAATAAATTGTGTTCTTATATACTAACAATGAACTATCTGAAAAGGAAATTAGGAAAACTATCTCATTTACAATAGCACCAAAAAAAGATAAAATACCTAGGATTAAACTTAACTAAAGAGGTAAAAAACTTTATCCTTAAAATTACAAAACATTGATAAAAGAAATTACACAAGACGCAAATGTAAAGACATTCTGTGTTAATTGATTAGAAGATTTAATGTTATTAAAATGTCCATATTACCCAAAGCAATCTACAGATTCAATGCATTCCCTATCAAAATCTCAATGGCATTTTTTACAGAAATAGATAAAACAACTCTAAAATTATGGAACCACAAGAGACCACAAATAGCCAAATTAATTCTGGGAAAGAGGAAAAAAATCTAGAGACATCATACTTCCTGATTTCAGACTATTACAAAGCTATAGTAATCAAACAGTATGGTACAGTAAAAACAGACATACAGACCAATAGAACTGAACAGAGAGCCCAGAAATAAATCTATGCATATATTGTCAAACGATCTTTGACAGAGAGCCAAGCATGCACAATGGGGAAAGGACAGTCTCTTCAACAAATGATGCTGGGAAAGCTGGACGTGCACATACAAAAGAACGAAATTGGACCCTTAAATTAAACCATACACAAAAATCAACTCAAATGGGTTAAAGACCTAAATGTAAGATTCAAAAACTGTAATCCTAGAAGAAAACACACGGGGAAAGTTTCAAGACGTTAATCTTGACAGTGATTTTTCATAAATATGACACCAAAAGCATAGGCACCAAAAACATAAATAAACAGGGGGACTACATCAAATTAAAAAGCGTCTGCACAGCAAAGGCAACAACCAACAGAGAGCAAAGGTAACCTATGGAATGGGAGGAATTATTTACAAACCATATACCTGATAATGGGTTAGTATCCAAAATATATAAGAAATTCTAATAATTCAATTGTAAAAAAACTAATAACCTTATTTTAAAACAGGCTAAGGATTTGAGCAGACATTTCTCCAAAGAAAACATGCAAGTGGGCAACAGGCACATGAAAAAATGCTCAACGTCACTAGGCATTACAAAATCAACAGTGAGATATCACCTCACACCTGTCAGGATGATTATTAAGAAAAAAACAACAACAATACAAGTGTTGGCAAAGATGTAGAGAAATTAGAACACTTGTATACTCTTGGTAGAAATGCAGAATGGTGCAGCCACTATGGGAAACAGTATGGAAATTCAAATTAAAAATAGACCCACCATATGATCTAGCAATCCTACCTGGGTATTTATCCAAAAGAACTGAAATCAGGATCTCGAAGAGATACTAGCACTCCCATGGTCATTGCAGCACTATCCTAATAGCCAAGACGTGGAAACCAAATGTCCATTGATAGGTGAATGGATAAAGAAAATGTGGTATATATATATACCATGGAATTCAGCCTTAAAAATATAAGGAAATTTTGCAGTTCGCTACAACATGGATGAATCTTGAGTACATTATGCTAAGAGAAATAAGCCAGTCCTGTCAGGACAAATACTGCATAATTCCACTTATATAACATGTCTAAAATAGTCAAATTCCTAGAATCAAAGAGTGGAATGGTGGCTGCCAGGAGCTTGGGGAGAGGGAAATGAGGAGTTACTGACCGATGGGCTTGAAGCTTCAAGCGAGATGAAGAAGCTCTAGAGATCTGCTGTGTGACACTGCACCTGTCGTCGATAACGATGTATTGTACACTTACATTTTTAAGAGGGTAGATCTCATGTAAAGTGTTCTTGCCACAGTGAAGGAAAATAAAAAATGCAGTATGAATACGAAAAAGAAATCTCCTCGTAATGTAAATAGATGAGTGTTTTAATGTCCTTACATTGTTAAGGGGGAGGCCGGAGGTATTAAATTATTTTAAACTCTGTATGGGGAAAAAACTCCCCAAAATATATTTTTATAAAATTACTTGTTCCATTTTGTGACTCTTTTTACCTGTTCTTTTCTCTATTTTTCTAGTTTGAGAAATAATTGACACACGTCACTATAAGTTGAAGGCGTACAGCATGATGCTTTGATTTACATATGTTATAAAGTGATTACTATAATAGGTTCAACTAATAGCCATCATCTATATGATACAATAAAAAGAAAAGAGAGAAAAGAGAAAATGTCTTCTCGTGATGAGACCCCTTAGAGCTACTCTCATAGTGACTATCCCGTGTATCATACGCCCACGTTGGCTACAGTCACAGCGTTGTATGTTACATCCTTAGTACGCATTTCTCTTTTATACTGGAAGTCTGTTCCTTTTGACCACCTTCCTCCAATTCCCCCTCCCCATCCCCTCTATTATCTTGTTCTGTGAGTTTGGTTTTTGTTGTTGTGTTTTTTTAAGAGGCCGCATATAAGTGAAATCATACAGTTTTTGTCTTTATATGACTTATGTCATTTAGCATAATCCCTTCAAGATCTATCCATGTTATCACAAATAGTAAGATTTCCTCTTTTTTCATGGATGAATAATATTTTACTGTGTACACAGACACACACACACACACACACACACACACACACACACCACAACTTCTCTTATCCATTCATCCATCAATGGACACTTAGGTTGTCTGGGGGTGACAGAAAGGACAAAAAAAGACACAGCAATGAGATGGCCATCTGCCAGCCAAGGAGCGAGGCCTCAGAAGGAAACCAAACTTGCTGACCCTTGATCCTGGACTTCCAGCCCTCAGAACAGTGAGAAATAAATTTCTGTTGCCCAACCGCCCAGTCGTGGTGTTTCGTTACAGCAGCCCTCGCAGACTGAGACGCTGTATATGATCCGTAGCTTTGCCAAATGGAAGCCACCTCACCGAAAGGACTGAATCAAGAGTTGTTGTCACCAACACCCTCACGATAATACAGAGGAATCGGTGCTCCCCACACGGGGTGCATTGGGCTCGGCCAGCCCGGACTCTCTAAGATGGGAACGGGAGTGACGTGGCGGTGGGGAGGCAGCAGAGTTTCGCTGCTGCGGCGCTCTCCACTTGCGCCCCTCAGTCCTGATGTCCCCAGGGTGGCAGGGAATGACCACCAGCTTTCTCAGCATTAGAGAGAAAGAGGCAAGATCCTTCCTCCAAAATCAAGTCAAAAGACAAATCAAATTGTTGTTATTAAGAGATTAAAAGTGAATAATAATACAAAGTGTCACGTAAATAAAGGCCATCTGAAACACAGAGCACAGAGAAGGTGACAAAAACAACATGGAGGGCAGAAGGGCCGAAGGAGAGGGGACTGAGGAGCCTTCTGGAGATGGGGGATGGACACCGATCCTGTCGACAGAGGGGATTTGGCACGGTCCACTAGTGCAAAAGAGGCTGTGTGCGTGAGACTGGACTTGTTCTGCCACCGGGCGGTCCTCCAGTTCCCCGAAAATAACTTTATATTAACATTTGCCAGAGTGTTTCTCAGGACAGTCAACACGCACTCAAACAGTGAAATAAAGTAAAATTGAAAATCTGGGGCTTAAAAAGGTTTCTTTATTTCAAGACTTCTCGGAACTCAAAATACGTTTATAAATTAATAATTGGACTGTAATCCCTTTCCCAAAAAGAATCTTGAAGAATTAATATTTTGGGAAGCCTCTTGAAAAGGCCAGCCAACCAAGGGAAGCAACGCAGTGGGAAGAACCAAACAAAAGAAGGGGTCGAGGCCCGAAGCTGCGCTCACAGAGAAAAGCGGGGAGACAGACAGTGATGTGATCAGTTAATAGCGTTAGGGTCTGGCTGAGTTTTTAAAAAGTAATCAAGACTGTTTCTGTGTGGCTCTGTGCTAAAAAGTTTACCTCATACCAATCCTTGTGAAATTAAAATCACTTTCATTTTACAGATTAAAAAAAAAAAACTGGGGCACAGGGAAGCTATGTGGGTTGCTCAAGGTCACACAGCTAGTAAGTGACAGAACCAGCTTACATCCAATTAGGGAGGTGACTCCAAGAGTCCTCAGAAATCGCAGCCCCAAACACTTAAGAGAACAACCATTATATGCCCAACACCGCTGAAAGAAAAATGACAGCTTAGAGCAATAATCAGTTCCAGGAGGCAGCTAGGGCTGCTCTTCCTTCTCAGGAAGAACCAGTCTTGGGGCTGAGGCAAAAGCTCAGAAGCAGACAGTTCTGCGAAACTGGGAAGAATAGGAAACTGGGCTCAAGGTCGAGACCACAGGGAACAACAGAAACATTTGGAGGTCAAGTACAACACGGTTCAGAGGATGGCGAGGTCTGTGAAGGATGCAGAAAATCCACATGGGGAAGTAATCAGCCATCACTCTTGCTGCTGGTGGCTGGCGGCGGCTAGAACATGTGGTCATTTTCTGTGTTCCAGCGACAGCAGAGTAAGGTTCTTGTGAAAACCCACCCTCGAAGTAGTTGATGCTACAACTCCTTGTTGCCGTTTTACTTACCACAGTATGTATACCAGATGTCAGTATCAGAGGAGTTGCAGATCCAGTGTTGCTCTGCCGGTTCAGTAAATATGGGAGAAAACAGGGTGGAAAAGAGCATAAATGGGAACATGATTTAATAGTGCCAAAACTCTAAAAAGGAGATATCAATAACTAATCACCGGACTCTTTCTTTTCAGTAAGTAGGAAAAATTGAACTTAGTCATCAGTCATGTGATTTCTAAGTTCCGATCCAACTATTTCCTCTTTTGTGTATGCGTGTGTGTGTGTGTGCATGTGTGTGTAATATTTGAGCACTTCCTGCTAGGAGAGAAGAAGATGATTTAGAGTGCACTCTTTTCCAACACTCGGTGTGAATGAGAGCACAGAGCTTTAAGAACAGAGCAAGGTATTTCCCAGTCAACAGTAACAAAGCCACCTATAGGTCTCCTTTAGAATCCCAGCAGGCACTGCTCCTCTCTCTCACGGGCTCTTTAAATGACAATTTCTCGTGCCCCAGACAGCTGGACCTATAGATCGGAACTGAAGAGTCTTATGCAAACCCTTTCTGCTCAGCAGCAGGGTCAGGCATGGGGCAGAGCCGTCCTGGACGAGACCCCAGGCCCGGGACGCTAGCTGGCAGGGGCCCCGCCAGCTTGAAAATGCACCTGCTTAAGTGAACTGCAGCTCCAGGAACTATTTTGAGCCCTGATAATAAAATGCTTATTATTTCGTGTATGGCACGTATTTCATTTCAAAACTCTCACTCCATTCTAGAAAAACAGCTAATCCTTTCGATGCTTTGCTTCTTGAGATCCTTTATAGGATATAGTTTGGGGTTAGTAGCCAAAAATGGCAGGGCCCAAAAATCTACAAGTTTAGAGGAAAATAATCATGTTATTAAAAGATTTCACTAAAGAACTGTACTACTTCCCATTTTTTAAAGGGCAAAAATCCATGGAGGGGTGGGAACATGGGGAGTTGTTCAATGGATATTGAGTTTCGGGATTGCAAGGTGAAAAAGTTCTAGAGATCGGTTGCACAGCGATGTAAATGTAGTTAACAGAATACTGAACTGTACTAAACTGCACACTTAAAATTGGTTAAGGTGGCAAGTTTTTGTTATGTCTTTTTACCATAATTTAAAAATGTGGTTAACAATTGGAGAGGGAGTTGGAGAGGAAAAGCCTCGTGAATGCCCTCAGTGGTCTCAAAATACCATTCCCCACTAAAAGAAACGAAGACTGGAGAAATCGCTGATTCTAGGCCTGGGGCAGAAAACACACAGGATGAGTCTGGAATAGTTTATCATGTTAGATGACCAATTTGAAGACTGACCAAAAATGAGTTTCTTATTGCTTCTGTTACAAATAACCACAAACATAGTGGCTTAAAACAATACAAATATATTCTCTTACAGTTCTGGTCAAGGTGTCAGCAGAGTTGGTTCCTTCTGGACTCCAGGGGAAAAATCTGTTTCCTTGACTTTTTCAGTTTCGAGAGCTACAATCCTTGCATTCCTCATCTTCAAAGTTCGGCACCCGCTCTCAGCTTCCACCATCACATCGCCTTCTGCCTCCTCTTACAAGGACCCTGTGATTATGAGGGAACCATTTGGATAATCCAGGATAATCTCTCCAACTCAAGATCCACCTATAAAAATCCCTCTCGCCATATAATATAACATTTGCAGCTTCCAGTTGTGAACATCTTGTAGATTACATGATCATTAAGATAGTAACTGGAATGCACTGAAATATATCAAATATATTTAAATCCATGAGCTCATAATAATTTTTTACAATCTAATTAATCATCAGATGATGCTAGGAAACAAACTCTATTTTGAGAACTGGCAAATGAAAGGGAAAAGAATCAAGCACTGGTCTTGATTTTCCTATAGAAACTGAACAACTGGTAACCAAGTCATAGAGAGTGGCAAATTTCCCTTGCCTTTTCATACTCCCTTCTCTGCTCTCAGAAGTATTTCAGCTATTTACGAAAAAGGAATAACAGATAGAATATAACCATTTTGCAACACCTAATGAACTGGTGAGCTTAGTATTATCGGTGGTTGCTAACATCACAGAGAAAGACATTATGTACCTCTTGATGGTGAACACGGGGGTAGCCGGCCTCCAAGATGACATCCAATGATCCTCACTTCCTGGAATGCAAATCCTGTGTAGTTCTCTCCATCAATGAATAAAGCTGACTGTGTAACTAACGAAATATATACAATGACAATGTACAACTTCTGAGGTAGATCATGAAAAGCATTGTGGCTTTCAACTTGCTCTCCTGGATCAACTGCTCTGGAGGAAGCAAACAGCCCTAAGGAGAGATCCACGTGGTGAGAAATGGAGGCCTCCCACCGAAAGCCCGGCACCAGTCTGTCAGTCGTGTGGGAGCCAGTGCAGCCTTCAGATGACAGCAGCAGCAGCTCCCATAACTGCGACCTCACAAGACACCTGAGCCAGAAACACTCGGCTAAGTCAGTCACCACCAAACACCTGACCGACAGAAGTTGGGCAGCATCATACGTGTTTATTGTTGTTTTACACCTCTAAGTTTTAGGGGTAATCAGTTACACAACAACAGATAATACCAACAACATAATTTATGAATCAGTCTTGTCCAAAATAATCGAACTCAGTCTCAAGTCCAACTACCAATTTATAGGAAATACAGAAGACAAACATGTTAAATTACGCCTCAGAGATATAATCAGAAAATCTAAACCATGAAACCAGATAAAGGACAAACAAATCAGTTTCTTCAACAGATGATTTGCAAGGAGGAAAAAAAAGTGGAAAAATGGAGAGGCCCATAATTTGAAGTCTTTAAAGACATTTCAAAAATTGGTGTGACTGGAGTGTGAACTTTATTTAGATCTTAATCCAAAGAAATGTGGGGGGAATATTATGAAGTAATTGGATATTTGACCAGACTGGATATTTGATAACATAGGAGGAGGCAGTTTAGGTATTATCATGGTATAATAATATGTTTTTAAAGTCCTTATCTTGAAGAGTTACAAAATTAAATATTTAAGGAAGAAAGGTTATGATGTCTGAGATTTGCTTCCGGGTAAAAGTAGAGGGCAAGGGGTTGGGGTCTAGATAAAATAACATTGACCACAAATTTGTCATGTTAATTTACTGTACTCATATTTTTGAATGTTAGACATTCTCAAAGAAAAGCAACAACAAAAGGATGAAGGATTCTGAAAACATCAGAATGCAGTTTTAACAATTGTTTCCAAGCTAAGGCTATCTCCCATTCACACCTAATGGCCATTTTGTTACTTTTGCTTCCAAAAGCTGAAGTCTTCCAGTATAGTGAAATCTGTGTTGAGGAAAAGGATTATATTTTACCATCCCACGGTATATTATCTGATGTAAGCCACATGTCAGCCCAGGTCACTCTGCTTTTTGAGACTCAGGTAAAACTGACTCAATGTTCTTCCCATACATACATCACCTTCCCAGTCTTCCCAAGATCACTCCGTCTGGGGTGAGGACAGTGAGTAGCGTGGAACAACATGCATATATTTCTCCTCCTTACCTTGCCCTGTGTTGTTTCTGCTGACTTATTTCAGTGGTGAATCATGCTGACCCTTTTCTACATCTTGGTCTCACTCCACCATGCTCTTGAGAAGTCATCTTTCTCAGTCTTTTAAGCGTTTTTTCTTTTCCCTAAACAACCAAGTTATCTTCTGAATTATTCTGGTGGAAGAAAACTTTAAAATGTTAACAATGCTGGGTTATGTTTTGTCTTTTCAGGAATGGAACTTGGAGTGACTTTTCTCTTGCTTTTACTTAAAAATATTTGATAATGAGCAATTCGATAGTTTTTATAAAGGTATAATCACACTAGGATAGCAATATATCTATCTAGGTAACAGGACAGAGGAACAGGCAGGCAGAGGCCCAACCCATGAACAGAGACAGCACCAGCTTGTTCATCTTCCTAAGAGCTTAGAGCCTGCCCTCTGCTAGGCAAGCTGGCTGATCCTAGCAGAAGGCAGGCTCTCGGTCTCAGAAAGGGGAGCACCTTCCTACGTTGTCTCCTATGAGCTTCTAGTAGCTTCAGACTTCAATAGCCTTTCCCCATGAACCAGTGATGTTTTTGCTGTTTCTCTACCGACCTCCCTTATACATGGCGAGCCGTAGATTAGATTGACCACAGGGGCAGGCGGCAGGTGTCAGACAGCTCCATAGACTGGTGTTTTGTTCTTAACGGTGACTCTGGCAAGTACCACAGTACCTGGCTCACTCTATGTGCTTAAGGATCTGATCTAAATAGAATGGTGTGAGGTCTTTTGCTCTTGGCTTAAAATCCTCCATGAGAACCAACTTTCAATTTACAATTAGAGGTGAAAATCTTAAAATGCCAATACTTGATAAAGTAAGCAGAGATTGCTATTTTATAAAAGGTACTGTCCGCCTGTTTAGTGCATGTGATTTCCTCACTCTGATAGGGTGCGCCACGGGAGGAATGCACGAGTGGCAAAGGGACCACAGAAGACAATTACTCAGGTCACCATTTCCCCTACAGCTACCGCTGCGCATGGACATCCTTACTATGGGCAGCCTTACGAGAAAACCTAGGCAACAACCTGTGTTCAGAGCCAGAAAAAGCGATTATCATTGCTTTCCATAATTTATAGATTTTTAAGAGTTTTTAATGAGAAGAGATAGTACCTATACACTCAGAAAAATCTAAACGCAAAGAAAACTTTCCCCATTTGCTTCTGACGTCTGATCCACAGCTGAGATTAAACCACTTATTAAATTATCCATACATATGCCAATGAGTACATGTGTTTTCACACCTTCTTTAAAAGCACAAATGGTGGAAAATCACATACTTTTCATGTATAATAAAAGAGCTTATTTTATTATAAAGGAACACAATTCTCTGCAAATTAATTCCAAATTCTGTTTGCTACAGTTTCAAATTATTTTTCACAATCAGTCACTGACCAAAAACAAAAGTAAAGGCAATTTTATTATTATACATTGGAACATAAATCATACTTAAGCACAAACATAAAAACAAAGACTCATTTCTCATCTTTAACTTGTTTCTTTTCACTGGTTTCTTCCATGTCAAAAGTGAATGGTTTGTCATAACCCATCAGATGGTCATAGTCTTCAGGGTTTGGAAAGAGACCTGGATTAACTAACAATGATTTCGTTTTAGCATAAAATGTGGTAAACAAATGTGCACTGCTTGGAATCTTCACGTCATTCTGGTGAAACACTGTACTCTTTTCCAAAAGCACAACATTGTAAGTAATGGCTTTATAAGTGTCTGTTGTGGCCTCGTGGTACAGCCGAATGACATAGCCTTTCGTAACAAAGTGAAGCAGCGCTGGAGTGATCAACGTAAAGCTTCCTATGACGCCATAAAATAAGACTTGCAAAGGCAGACTTCCAAATATGATATTACTTTGTGCAAAAATGTATGGCAGAACTGCAAGGCTGATCACACTTGTAGAATAAGAGAAACATTTCACACCTAAATAGGAACAAAAATGGGAGAGGATTAATACTCTTACATTTTATAAAAGAATCAACCTATCCAATTAATTCTTCCACTTTTCTTACCATATCATCATAACAACAACAAAATCAAAATACACATAAAGTGTTATAACATTCCAGGCTGTTTTAAGCACTTTACATATTTTATTCATGAAATCTACAGAAAGCCCTAAGACATAGATATACAATTATTATCATGAGATGAGAAAAATGAGGCTCTTGCTCAATGTCACATAACTATCAAGTGACAGAGTTGGGATTCAAACCCAGGCAACCCAGGCAATGTGACTCCAGGCCGTTGGCCATTACGCTGCATTGCCTCTTCAAATGGGAAATCTGCATTAGGGTTAATTGGCCTCAACCTCAGTTCCCCAAGAAAAGATTTAATATTATTCAAAGATCCTTATTAATATGATAAAAACTCAGTCAGCAGACTATCAAATAAAACTCTGTTACCAAGCACTCTCTAACATAAACTCTTCAAATGTGGAGCTAACATTATCGAGCTAAGTGCCCAGGGTTAAAACAACAAATGACAAAAAACAAAACAAAACAAAACACAACCCAAAAAGCAAAAATAACACCAGTGGTTACGAAGTATGTGGGAAAGGTATTCAACTCCTTTACCAAGGAAAGACATGCAAGTTAAAACAATGAGATATTTTTACCTATCATATTAGAGAGATTAAAAATCAATGACTTCTGAACTATATACTTAAAAATGGTTAAGATGATAAATTTTATGTTATATATATTTCACCACAATAAGAAAATAAATGACTTTAAATATAAATTTCTCTTAGTTTGAAAGTATAATTTTAACATGATCCCAATAAAAATACCATCTGTTTGGAAAATAGACAAGATGAGACCTCAGACAAGTTAATTATAAAGTTAATTTAGAAAAACTAAAGAAGCAAAAATAAAAGGGGGTGTTAGATACGAAAACATAAGACTCTATAATTAAAATAGTGTGTCACTGGTGCACAAATAAACAGACAGATCAAAAGAACAAAATAAAAAATACAGAAATAAACCTAATTGTATATGGAACTTTAGTATAAAGATAAAATCTAAAATAAGTGGGCAAAAGCGGTGGTAGAATATGGATAGCCATGCAGAAAAAGAAAAAATTCAATCCATTCCTCATAGCATATACCAGGAAATTCCAAATAATCCAGAGATTTAAATGTAAAAACTAAAATCATAGAGGTGTAAGAAGAAAATATCCATAAAATGCTTCATAATCTGAGATAGGAAAATTTTCCTAATCGTGACTCCAAGTACTGAAGCAATTGAGGAGAAAGACTGATAAATCTGATTACATTAAAAATGTAAAAAGACAAATGAGAAAAATATTTACAACTTATATCAGTAAGGGTTAATATCACCACTATGTAGGTTTCTAGTATATAAGGGGGGAAGAAATAACATGCAAGAAATATAAGCAGACAGTTCACTGAAACAAAAATGCACATGGTCCTTGAACAGATGAAATGATGCTAAACCTCAATCATATGAAACGCAATAAAAACCAGAGTGAGTTACTGTTTTTCCCTAAATTGGCAAAAAACAAAAGTTTGACAACATACTCTGTTGGTGAGGCTATAAGAAAGCAGACACTCATACACTACTATTGGCTGAAGGCTTAACTATATTGCATTAGTAACTTAAAATAATTCCTCCCTTCCTCCCACAGGTAGTTGCCATGACACTGGTACACATGGGATACAATGCAGACCAAGCTGCCTCCTACATGAAAGCCTCCTCAGACCTCCCCACTTCTTTTTTCCCCATTACTTTTGTCACATTTAGGGGGTTGAATTCTGTCTCCCTAAATATTCGTGTCCCCTCAGAACCTCAAAATGTGAACTTATTTTGGAATAGGGTCTATGCAGACAATGAAAAATTCAGATGAGATCATACTGGATTAGGGTGGGCCCTAAATCCAATGAGAATATCCTTATAAGGACAGAACAGGACAAACAGAGACAAGGAGAAGGCCACGTGAAGTAGAAGGCAGAGATGAGTTATGCAGCTACAAGCCAAGGAACACAAAGCATTGCCAGGAGCCACCAGAAGCTGGAAGAGGCAAGAAACAATTCTTCCCTGAAGCCTTCAGAGAGAGCACAGTCCTACCAACACCTTGATTTCAAACTTCCAGGCTTCAGAACTGTGAGAATAAATTTTTGTTGTTTTAAGCCACCAAGTTTGTGGAAATTTATTACAAAAGCCCTAGGAAATTAACTAACATGCACATATACTTGATTTTGCCTAGACTGAAGTATTGCTATTTTTAAAACATTCAAGGCCTTCCCATCTTTCTGACTTTGCTCACACCACTTCTGTGCCTAGGGTGCCCCTTCTTTCACACTTCTTCATGTTCAAATTCTACTCATCTTAAAACGAGAATCCTGTGACATCAGGAATTACATGTTGCTGAATTAACAAGAACTGTCGACTAAAAGGACCTTCAAATGTCTTTAAAGTAGGACTCATTTAGTAAAGAACCTCCAGGAATGGTACCTCTAGGTCTTATGGTCTCTCACTCAGTTTCACATAGAAAAAAATGTTTCTCCCTCAGTTTCTACTTAGAAAAAGTATCAATCCCTGATAAGTATACAGAGTGACTGTCTACTTTCATGATATTAAAAGAAGTCAAACATTCAATTCCTTTATAATTCTAGAACTTTGAAGAGCATGAACAGCCATGCTCTTCCACAAATATTATATCCTACCCACACCAAAATTAATTCCTACTTATAGTCTCTTCTTTCCAGAATGGAGTCTGGAACATGAAATAAATTGGTAAGACTTCCCTGCATTTGAAGGAACGGTTCTGTGTTCAGAAGGAAATGGGGGTCACTGTTAACACATCTCAATGGATCCAATCCAGGTAGCCCAGGCCAGAGATGTGACAGAGGCTCAATGGCCTACTCATGCATTGACTTGTGAAGAAATTTATAACGATCCAGAATTGATTATTCCAATAACTTCAGAACTCCACTCGATGGTGATTATAATCAGTCCTTATCCCTAAAAAGTTTTAAACAGCTAAAATTATACTCTAAACATACTCTATTTCAATGTCACACGCTTGAGAACTTAGATTTCCTGAGTAAATTTTAGGTGATCAGTTGATACCAGCGTGATCAAAAACACAAATGCAAATGTGTGCTGAAATCTTGGGCCCACCTGGCTATAAAGTAATCCTCCAGATGTTTCATGTCATACTTTTTTTTTAAAAAAAAGATTATTACAATGAAATACAACCTGAGAAAATTAAACAAATCACATACCTCAGTTCTTTGGCCTTCTCTACTAAATTGTTCCATACAAAATCCTAAATTACGATCTAAGGAAAGAGCTCTAAACTTGTAGCTATCTAGCACACTGTCCATAACTCTCCATAGCTGTCTATCACCTGGAAAAGCCGCTAAGTAAACATTTTGTTGAAAATTCTAAAATGACCTGAAAAAATGTAAAATTAGTATATTTTTGAATTATAAAAGTATTACATGTTCATGTAAACACCAAATTTAAAAACACCTGAAGTAAATGTCTATTCCCCCAATATAACTACTTCTAAGAGGTATTCCACATTTTTTCTCTGTATATTCAACCATTACACAAATATACACTTTTTGCTGTTTTATTTTGTTGTTAAATATCTCAACAGGTGACCAAAAGAAGCTTTAACCATCAGATCACAAAGTCATAATAATCTTCAAAAACCTTTTTTAAATCTGAAAATGCAAAGGTCTCAACTTCTAAATCTTTTTATCAACAGGACACAAGAAAAAATTACAACCTAATTTTTCCTTATGTCTTGCAATTAAGAGGACTAAAATAATACATAACATATGCTAAGAACACTTTTTACAATCAAAAGGGAAAAATAAAAGTAAATATCTTCCTTTCTGATTACCCACCAAATACTGCTCGGGCCAGATTCCCAGTATAAATCAGCCTTCCATCTTCTGATTTTTCAACTTGCGTATGTAAGCATCGAATACATCTTTCCCAACACACAGGTATCTAATGAAACAGAGACAGAGACTATTATAATGTAAGTACATAATAAATTGCGTTTTAAAACTTTTAAATTGAAAAAAAAATTTAAGACAATGAAGAGACCTTGTCACATGAGATGATTTAAAGAATTCTCTCAAAATATATACAGAGGTAGAGAAATCATACTGGCTAACAGAATGACTTTCCTTAATTCCAGTCATAAGTAGACACGTGCTGAGTTGGAGTTTGAAGAACAAGGGAGCAACCCCAGCTTCAAGCTTTTTAGATAAAGTGTGACCTTGAACGTGTAAAAAGTTTAGTGGAATGGTTTCTTTTCTTCTACTCTTAATGAGAACTTCACTCTTGCTTCATGGTCAGAGTTAAATGCATTAGCTTTTCAAAAAATAAAGTTTTAATACAATAACGTAAGTAAAACACTGCAAATTCAGATTGTATAAAGTCCAGACCGTTTTTATTACTTCTAAAATATTTATACCAATAGCTAGTATAAAAACTTTAAAGAATAAAAAATAAAAAGAGGTAATTTTCCTAAAGGCCATCCATTTGCATCTCTTATTCCTCCTAACGAATATTTTACTTGAAACCGTACATCAAATTTCACGGGAACACGAGAGTCCCCTGAAAGTCTGAAAATGAATTTCACAGCACATAGACTTCAAAAGGCATGCCTAATCCCTTTATGCTGAAATTTAATTAGGTGTCAATTCCCATGTTAGGCATTTCTTCCACGTTTCAAGCACATTTGCTAATTTTGATACTTTACAGGGCAGGATTAGGAGACAATTTATTCAGACTAAAATCAGAAGATTAACGTCTCCATTCCCTTTTTCCAGGGAGCAAAGAAATTCCTAAAATTAGGACCACCTAATAAAAAATAGAACAAACTCAATATCATGTTATCCAAGGTCTTTCATTTCGGTCTCCAAGTGGTGCACCTAACGCCGAGGCCTGCTACTCTCGCCAGCCCCGCAGGGGATTCCCAGCCGGAGGCGCGGGGAGAGCTGTCAGAGAGCGGGGGCTCCCGGGTGCCGACTACACCCACCGACTCCCACCCTTTCTCGGATCTGCCAGCCCTGGGACGGCCCACCTGCGCTCGCACGGGACGAGGCAGAAGCGGCGCGGTCGCGCGCAGTCCCGTACTCCTGCGGCCGACAGGCCCCCAGGAGCCGCTGCAGGAGGCCGCCCGCGAGACGGCCGCCCTGGGGCCTCGC